AAATCGATGTTGAATTTGCTTAACTTTTCTTTATCCAAATATGTAATGCAAAATAAAAGAAATCTCGATCGGCGATCACTGAAACGCAGCTAGCAACTGTATACTCGAAAAAGCAATGTTGCCACTTTTTCTCTTTAAACCATGTTCGAATCGTGGAAATTTTGGAAGATCACAGGGTTGCTTTTAGCATTTAGATTCTTAATGCAAAAATGTAGTTGCATTTAGGTGACGAATTTTGTATGGATAAATGTACATTTAGAGTAGCATTTAGAGCTAAATGCGCTAAATGTGCTTTTACGCGTAAGCAAAAACAGCCTATAAAACTGAATGAGATATAAAACTGCATACTCAAAATATTTCTAGGAAATCTAATAAAAATTCGAAATTTTGATGAAAAGTATTTTAAGTTTAATTAGGTTTTGTGAACTTTGAGCAAGCTTTGAAACTTTTACTTATGTGGTGTCTGATATAGAACGACCCATATTTTAAATGAAAATTATTAACAATAAATAAATAAAGATAAGTTGGCAAAGACAATTCTAACGCGTTGGTCCCGTATGGCTGGAAAAAATCTGGCAACACTAATAACGACGCCTACATCGGTAGTTCTCAGAAATACGAAAACTGCGATATTTTAGTTACCACTAAAGCTTATTCTCTCCAAATTGATATTTACAATGATCTTCAGGCAGAAAATAAGCATTTTATAATTTTTTTTTAAATGGGCGTAGCCACGCCTACTTGTGATTAGATGTATATATCGCCGTAACCGCCTAAACAATTTCTTTTAAATTTTGCACAATAACCACGCCCACATCCTATATAACGTAACTTCTGAAGCGAATTTACATATTCAAAATCGATTTTTGCAGTAATTCTTAAGCAAGAAATGCGTCTTAAATAAATTGCTAGGAAATGGGCATGTATCTCATTATTATGGAATTTTGGAAAAGGGGCGTGATACTGCCCACTTATAACTATATAAGTTTATCTCATTAAGAAGATGTTTAAATTAGGGGCAAAACCACTCCCGCTTACCATGTAACGGTTCTTTTCAGAAAGGTGAAAAAACTATATTTAATACGTGCGCCGGGTATTTAATGTTCGGCTTCGCCCGAATTTAGACTTTGTTACTTGTTTTCAACTAAATTACATATGTAGGGAGAAAGTGCCGCATTTTCAAAAATTAATTTAAGAACCTGTCAGCACGAACATATGTATGTATGTATATTAGGGCGGATCGATTTGTAGGGACCCAAAAAAATTAACAGAGGCACATCGTGATTATGATTTTTTGGGTAATTTCAATCGTTCTTGCCCAGGAAACCATAGGTCTAAAATTAATTTCGTTCCAACGATTTTTTTCTATCTAGTTTTTTTTCAAAAAGTGGTTCACCTGTTGAAACAACTGTATTGAAACTAGCCAAAATGTGGATCCGGGGGTTTTTTGGGTCGAGGAATCAATTTCTGACATTAATTTTTTCTTTTGACGGCCGACACAGGGGCTTCCGTACTTCTTTTTATAATGCCTTTTATTATAATGCCTTTTTCCGAAAATCGAAAATATTGCTGCGAAAATCCACAAAAATTGACTTTCTCATAATGCAATTTTTAAATAGCCCAAAATGTTCAGCGTTGAACATTAGGGGGAAGGAAAGTGCATTCATACACAACTTACAATCGGTTTTATTCAAATTAGTTTTTTGCATGTATGTATGTATGTCCTGGAACTTTGCAATCAATATTTAAAAAACTTCCCGATAAGCTACAGACTTGAAACTTTAAACTTAGCTCAGTACTCGAGGACAATGCAATATAAAAGATGACTTAATCCGCTAGGTGGAGCAGGAGTCGAGATATTTGGAAAACCCGTTTTCAGTACATTTTTATTCAAAGCAAAGTTAAGAATGTAAGTGTCAGATAATACTTTAAAACACCACAGTACATGTTTTTGACAATATTTTGGTATATAAATAAAATATAATTCATAAAAAATAAAGGTGTTATTTATTTTAACATGAGTGTACGCATTGTACACAGTAGCAAATAAATTATTTTATGTTTACGACATTTTTGAATAGCAATAATGAGATAATTTCCATCTTCAGTGTTTAAATTGTCAAAGAATTCTATACATTTAATTTTAAAATACTTTCAATTTGAAGTTCACTTTAAAAAAATTTTATTACAAGCCGGTTTCCCTCTTTGCGCCAGGAAGCAAACTTTATACTTCAGATCCTCTGAATTGCTTCGTTTGAGTGTGGTATTGAAAAAAGGAAAACCAAATTACATATTTTTTCAAACTGTGGAAAACTGCCACTATTTTAGGACTTCATCTATAAATCCTTATGGCTCAAATTAATTTTTTTCAACTACGCAAATACTTTGAAAGACTAAGAACTCGCCAAAAAGAGTATCTAACTCTAAGTCTTGTACATATGCAAAACTCTTTTACAATGTCAGTAAATTGTGAAAAATGTGTGTAAGTTATAGGGAAAAGCCATTCGAATATTCAAATTTGCTGTTGTTAAACTTAAAGTTATTTTCGAGATAACTAACAACACACGACAAAAAAACGTCAGCCTTCTTTTTAAATAACTTAAGCTCCTTCATATAATCGCAACTGGTACGTAACGACACGGCGATATGCCCGTAAAACTATTGATTTTTTTTGTTGCATTAATTTCTTGGGCATATTACCCATTATCTGAAACATGTCATATTAAACATTATCTAAAACATGTCAACTATAATTAAATTATTTTCTTCTTACTTTTTACAGTACCGTTTAAGTAAGTCCCAACGTTATGGAAAAACCTTAAGAAAATCCTAAAGTATTTTGTTTGAATTAAAAATTCAGTACAAATCAGTACAAATTTTGAAAAATCAGGACGTTAGCGTACTGATTGAAGAAATGAATAAAATCAGTACAAGAGTTGAAAAATCAGTACTGTGCTGATAAAATCAGTACGTCTGGCAACCGTATTTAGAATGCATATTGGCTTACATGAAAAAAAAAACTACACAAAAAATTTTGGCAGTTATGTGGCGCGCGAGTCTATATAATTAAAAAATCGGTATCCGCTTTGGTCTATATTCAGAATATGTGTATTGCCTATTTAAATTGAAATATATTGAAAATTTTGTTTGTTAAAGTCAAATCTAGCACGTTGGAAAAAGTGTAGCTAAAAAGCAGGGTGGGGAAAATGTTGGTCGCATTGAAAGAAATGGACAGAAGTAGAAATATACAGACAATATAAGATTAATTGCAAGATTTCAAAGGCCTAAACAGTAGAAAATAAAATTATAGTTAAAAAACTAAAAACACGGTTTTATTACAACAAGAACTAAAAAGTATAAAATAATTTATAGATATAGCGATTCCGTTTAAGAAGAATAGGAAGTTCCCTAACTTGATTAAATTTAACTCTTTTAAATTAGCTAAAAATAGGATTAAAGTGATTGGCCCGTAGTCAAAGTCAAAATAAAATCCACTGTAAATTTGTTTGCAGTTTTTTTACAGATGTCCCATTGAAAATTATGTCAAAAAGCTGCAACTAACTTTACAGTGGTTTTTATTTTGATCAAAAAAAAACGTAAAAACCAATGTCAGAATGGATTTCAGGACACCAAGCACCCCCAGATACACATTTTGGCTAGTTTTCAATACAGCTGTTTCAACAGGAGAGCCACTTTTTGAAAAAAAAAACTAGATAGAAAAAATCGCTGGCTCGAAATTCATTTAAGACCTATGGTTTTTGGGAGAAAAATGCTTGAAATTACCCAAATAACCATAATCGCGATGTGCCTTTGATGCAAAAAAATTTGACCCGCCCTAATGTATGTAAATACATTTTGGAACTATGGCAGAGCGACTTATCGCGATGCGGGCATAAGGGAATCCTTTGCCATACTTTAATGTATAGATGAAGGCATATGAAACAGGTACTCGCATTAGAGCAAACACAACATTTACGATTACTTTGTTGTTGCTTCTGGTAAATATCCCAAATGTCAGAAAAGTATTGCAATTTTTTAAATAACGTGTTAAATTTATAATTAAAAAAAAGATTGGGGCGACTTCGTAAATTTATTTACGTCGGAACATCGTTCCATCCTTTGCAAAGCCCAAAAGTTAGCGTTCGTGTTGCTTGTGTTCTATCGGTTATTTTAAGGAAATAAGATTTCACATGCAAATACAGTAATGGACAAAAGTTTCCGGCTTTACACCATACTAAGGTAAAAATATCTAAAACGGGAGCAAAATGCCACAAATATATTTTTCTGCAAAAATAGAATGAAGCGCCACATATCAGGGAAAAAACGGCATATGTATGTAATTAGTTCGAACCATTTAAACTAAATAATTTCACATAGTATGTATGTATGGATTAAGGCAAGTTAGTTTAGAGTTGGACAAAAGTATTCGGCATTCTTAATAGCATTTAACTAAAACTTCCTTAAAACTAATTTTAGTATCTAATCTGCATACCTTTTTATTTCATTACCTCTAGCAGTATATTTTGCGTGATTTAGTGAGTTTTATGTGATTTTCCTTTATTTCCCCCATTCTTCAATGATAGCGGCTAGATTTACATTACTCGTCGAATCGACGACGTGTGTTGTTTACGTATACAAAAATAAGAATCTGTAGGGTTCATTTTTCGGCGTGATATGCTTCCTTATATTTTATTGAAGATCAGCCAATAAATTCTCAATTAGCAATTGCACTATTTTGACAAAGTGCTGCGGATTATTGTCCTGTTGAATCTAGAAGCCATTGCCTAAATCCAATTCTCGTGCACTTTTCTTTAAATTATTTTTCTGGAAATTGAAATAATTGTTTTCTTTATTATATTTTCAACGAAAACTAGCTCATCAACGCCTGATAAA